ACACACACACACACACATACAGACACACACACACACACACTAAAGCCACCAACACAAAACTAGACAGCAGAAAACAAAAACCATGGAAGCAGCCACCAAAACCAAACAACAAACTTAAATCCTTGTCATCCCTCCAAACTTACTTTTTTTTGCTTACTATATTTGACCCAAAACACTCTGGCAGCAATGTAAAAAGGGAGGCTCAGGCTAACCAATTTTTCATTTTGGTGGTAAAAGAATCCTGGCTACTTAAATTTGATTCAAGAATCTTACCTAAGAAAATGTGTGTGCTAGAGTCTATTGTGGTTCTCTGGAAGATGGGCTCTTGCCTCAGAACCTCGAGGGTCCAGGGAGAGACTGTTGTGATCCCAAGGGCTTCCGTAGGACTGCTGCACGCATGCCCTGGGCAAAGTGCCGATGAAGAAGCAGCTGATTGTGCCCAGGGCAGGTCTGGGATGAAAGGTCCTGGGACTTCCACGGTGCAGACGACTTGACTCACCACACCCCGCCTCACTCTCGGGATGCTGGCCTTGTAAGAGGTTTTTCTTTCTGAGAGTTGGAGATACTCAGGAAGGGAAGGAAAATTTAAAATGAGAGTGATAGTCCTTATTTTTCAGCATAAATTTACCCCATTTCAGAGATGGACAGCAACACATGGTTCCTCTTCACAAAGTTACAGAAGGTTTTGTCCTATTTGATTTCTGGTTTCACAACACACATGGCTGATGGGAAGCAGAATGGAAATGTCACAGTGCCCTTCTGCACAGATCTGCTGTTGGGTCTAACTAAGCAATGTTTGAGATAACAGAATATAGCCGCATGGTATTCAATAACACTGTGGGGGTGGGAGAGTCTCTTGGCTTGTCTGACAGTGTGATGACTGATGATGACAGATGTGTATGTATGTTTATGTGTGTATGTATGTATGTTTGTATGTGTTTGTAAGTATGTATGTGTAAGTGTATGTATGTATGTATGTGTATATGTATGTGTGTATATATGTATGTATGTGTATGTATGTATGAATGTATGTGTGTATGTGTGTGTATGTATGTATTACATAGTGGTCCAGGCTCCAGGATCTAGTGTCTTATTTGCCACATGGTATATCTCTGGCAGTCACTGGAATGTCCTGTGTGGATGAGCTTTTCTGAGAGTAGTCTTTTGAGCTGTCACTGCTGAGCACCACCCATGCCAGGAGGGACACATTACTGACTGAAGCTTTTGGTTGACTCATCAGGTTTACTCAGAAGAGTGTGATGAACCTAGGGGAAAGGGCAGCTTCCCAGCCATGATCACCCCAGCTTATCGGAATGCCAAGAAGGCCAATGAACTTGCTAGTGATGTAAGTACTGGCAGAGTCATGGATGCGGAGGTACAAGAATGAGGAGGGCTGCACTTACTGAAAGCCATGTACAGACATCTCTTAGAGCCAAGTGAAAGCAGAATGCTAGTCTGGCCCCAGGTCCAAACTCATGGTGTCCTCTTGATCTGCCCATAGACTTTGAGTCCCTTTGACTGTGCATATGGAAATGGAGCTGGACAAATTGCCCTGCTCATTTTTATCATCTGAAAAGGCACAAATGCTGGTCCAAGCAGATAAGTGGGACCAAAGCCCATTGTGAAACCAAAACCCCGTTTTGAAATTGAGCCTTTTAGGGCAAAAGCTCACCAAAAGAATATAGTAAGTCTTTCTGTCCCACCAGCTAGCTCCCAAATAGCGACATGGAGGCTTGTTATTAATTATGAAAGCTTGGCCTTTACATTAGACTTGTTCCTAACTAGCTCTTATAATTTAACCCATTATATCAATCTACGTTGTATCACATGGCGTTACTGCTCTTCCATCTTGCTCCTCCTATTTCCTCGTCATGTGCCCTGGTGGCTCCCGTGTGTCTCAGTCATCTCCTTCTTCCTGTCTCTGCCTGGACGTCCCACCTATCCCTCCTGCCTAGCTATTGACTGCTCGGCTTTTTATTACACGAGTCACAACAAATACATCTTCCTTCACACAGTTTACGAATATCCCACGATATAAGAAGACGTGGTCATCATGTTGGGTGTGACCCAGTGATTCATAGGTGGTTTTTATTTGGAGAATGGTAGGCAGGTGTCAGTCCTTGAGGCCGGCTGTAGTTAAACTTGGTGAAGTGTGGTTCTCACTGCAGCTCTTAACATGCCCCCTTGGACTTGTCTCCGGCTGGAACCTGGCGTTCACGCCATCCCTTCACTCTTCTTCCTCACTCTGTGCTGCTCAGTGAGTACCCAGGAAGCCAGGACAGCACCGCCTTTGCCCTGAGAAGGGAAATGTAGGGTGTTACTCCTTTCTCCTCTGCAGACAAAGCAGAGATGGTGTTGAAATTGAGGGCTGGATGGGGTCGGAATTTCTCTTTTCTCAAAAAACTCTCTCCCTTTCTCCAGGCAGTGTTAGAGAGCAAAGGGTAAGAGGGGCCAGGGAAAGTCTTCACGCAAAAATGAATCAAGTGGTTTCTACATTTAATGAGAGACTTTAAAGAGTCCAGAGGAACTTTTCTTCCTTTAGAGAATTCTACTGCGTTAACTCTGGGATTGTTTCAGATTTCTCAGGCAGAGTGAGGCAACCATGTCTGCTGACTCCTTTTGTGTGCTTTCTCCAGATAAAATATAGGCAGGACTTCCACAAGATGAAGGGCGCTGCGCACTTTCACTCCCTCACAGCCCAGGACAACTTGGTTCTTAATCGAGCTCAGAGTGTGAACAAGCTTGTGAGTGAGGTGAGTGTTGGGGAGAGCATTACTCCCGTGCTGTCCCCTTTCTCTCAGACCCGGAAGGCGGGTGCCCTGTCTAAAAACAGCGCTGATGCTGGTGGTGCAGACCTGTAACCCTGGCACTCATTTGACAGGTTGGGCAGGCGGGGGGCAGCAGTTCAAGGCCACTCTCTAAGCTTACAGTGAGTTGAAAGCCAGCCTGTGCCATGTGAGACCCTGCCTCAAAACAAACAAAATGAAGCCATGCATACTGTCTGCATGCCAAATAATGCACACACACATATATATCTCCAAACACATTAAATCTTTCTCTGTTGGCTCAAACGGTCTTGCTAAGTGCTAACCGTCTTCATAAGTGCCAGTCAACAGATTTGTAGTTGTCAGAATGAGTGGTAGATGACACAACTTTCAGAGGTTTGTTTTAATTTTAAATTTGTGTGTGTATGTGTGAGCACATGCATGCATGTGAGTGCAGGTACCCTCAGAGGCCAGAAGAGGGAGCCAGGTCCCCCTGGAGCTGGAGCTACAGGTAGTTATGAGCCACACAACTTGGGAAGCAAACTCAGGTCTTCTGAAAGAGCAGCAGGCACTTTCAATCTCTGAGCCATCTGTCCAGTCCCTATGCTCCAACCTTTAAAACCGTAAGTTGTGACATTAGTGTGGAATCAAAGTCTAGAAAGACTGTTGTAAAGGCCACATTTCTCATATCACTGGGGTCAGAGTTGAGAGAAGCTGTGTCTACCACATGGGTTCTCCTTTCCTTCCAGGCTGGCCTGGCTGCTCTGGGGTGCACATTGTTTAATCCACCCCATGTTTAAGTCTTTCTGAACCAGGCCTAGTGGGAAAGAACATGTGTCCTCTAGCTCCCTGGAGCTCTAGTGTCCCTTCATAGTGGCTCCTGTCATCTGCACTGCTGCACAGGACTTGAAGACCTGTGAGTGGCAGTTCTGACAAGGGGAAGAATTGTGGCTATGAAAAGTGCCCATACCATGCTCTCTGTGACCCAGGCACTGATAGGCAGAGCACCTGTTACTTACAGAACACTCTGTAAGGCCTTGATCTCAAACCGGGCTGACTGGTGACTTTTGAATGCCCAGAATCAGACTTCCCTGAGCCTCAGCAGGAGCCTTAGATGCTTTGAGGTGGTGGTTGGGTGCTGAGAGGTTAGACTTTCTGGATTATTCTACTCTAGAGCAGATGACAGCACACTGTGGGCTTCGTTTCAGATCTGGCTCATGGCCCAAATCTAGTTCAGGGCCTATTTTCATAAATGAAGTGTTTGGGACACAGCCACAGAGTATCTGCCTGCATATTGCTTTTGGCTGCCATTAGGCTCTCATGGTGAGTCTGAGCACCCAACATAGAGATCACGAGGAGGGCAAAGCCTGAAATATTTGATTTATTTTGTTAGCTATATGGTATATGACATAATAATGATCATAATAATATATAATTAATATTAACGTATAATGTTATATATGATACCTATACTTTTGTTAGCTCTGGTAGGAAAGTGTCTGTCATGATATAGAGATCTTAGGGGCAAAAGTAGAACCAGAGACCATTGGATAGGTGGAGGCCAGGGACAGTTCAACCACCCATAAGGAGTATATTCACAGAGAAAAGGGCCACTCCTTTTTCTGTGTGAACACACATAACTGAACATGTGACCATCAAGACATATATTTATAGGACTGGGGAGACAGCTCAGTGAGTGTGTAAAATGCTTGCTACAAAAATATGAGGAGTTGAGTTTAGATCCCTAGCACCCAGTTAAAAGCCAGAAATGGTTGCACAAGTTTATAACTTAGAACTGAGGGTGGGGTGGGATGGGGTGGGTGGGGCAGGGGAGCAGAAGCAGCTATGTCCCAGGAGCTTGCTCTGCAACCAGTGTGGTTGGAACAGCACGTTCCAGGATCAGCAAGGGACCATGCTCAACAAATGAGGTGGGGAGCAATGAAAAAGACACTCGAGACAGATCTCTGGCCTGCACACGTGGCTTGTGAGTGTGTATAGGTGCATTGGAGATACACACACACACACACACACACACACACACACACACACACACACACAATTAAACATTTTTAGTCCTTGAATGTATTTTATTCCGTGTGGGTGTGCATGTGCCTGAGGATATGTGTGTGCACATGAGCATACCCAGAGGTCAGAAGAGCACTGGGTCCCTGGAGCTGGCCATCCTCTGCGTGGGTGCTGGGAGCTGAGCCCAGACCCTCTGCAAGAGCATTGGCCTCTTAGCACTGAGCCATCTGTCTACCCCCCCCACACACACTTTAGAATTAGGATGTATCTCTAGAGTTAGGATCCAAATGAATACCAGGGTTTTGTATTTTTAACTTATACATCATTTGCCAGCATCAAAATGCACCTTGCATGCTTTTAAAAGGCATAGCTCCACCACATAGTTTTATCAGGCACTATAAGGATTTAAGTTGTATTTCCTCAGGTGAGTGATCCCAAAGGCATCCTCTATTTCATTTTGCCTTTGTGATTATCAGTGAGATAGGATGGCCCTGCCTCTCTTTGTGGTGTTCACCATTAGCTGCAATTACCCGGGATGGACTGCCTATTCGGTAACAATAGCCTCACATCCTGTGTGTGGCACCCGAGGAGCTCCAATACCAGCCTATTTTAAATCAAAGATGACCTGCCTCCTCGGTGGGATCCTTCATCGAATTCCTTAATAAAGCACTGTTTCTAAATCTTCTTGACGTGTTCACAGAGAGACACACATGTGGTCTACAGTGGGAGGAGTTTCTCAAGTGGACTTGTCTATGTGGTGGGCTCTCAGAAGAAACAGGGCGTGGCTAGAAGTCTGGGTATCACATAAACACACAAGACATCTTACCTCGAGGAAACCCACACCATTTCTGAAATCATTTTTGCCACTCTCATTATTGCCATTGTGTGACGCTGTAGAGCAAACCCAGAGCCCCATACTGGGGACACTGTCCCTCAGCTACATCCAGCCCTTGTTTTACAGTTCTTCGTCTGTATGGAGCATTACAGTACCTGCTATAGAGAAGGTTATGTACTTGTTATTTTCAGAATGAAATAACTTGCTTTATTATTCATTTTATAAAGGAACACACACACACACACACACACACACACACACACACACACACACTTAGTATCCTCTGCCCTACTTTAGATCTTGTGTTGAAAGTTTTCTAAAAGATATCCCAGTCAATACTTGGGGGTGTTTTCAAGAATGATTCGAGGTTTGTTTCTGTTGAGCATCTGGTGTTTGGTTCCCCAAGGTGGAGTATAAGAAGGGTCTGGAAAGCAGTAGAGGTCACAGTATCAACTACTGTGAGACACCCCAGTTCAGGAATGTGAGCAAGATCTCAAAATTCACCAGTGATGTGAGTTGCTACCTAAGCATCTGTCTGGGCACGTTTTGTGAGTTGAGCGTCTTCTTGGTCTTTCAAAGAGAGACTGTCTTTGTGACTATATCCATGTGTCCTGGAGAAGCATGGCCTCCCAGCTGCATGGTACATTGAGTTTTGGTTAGGAGTGTCTTCTGGGATTAGTCTGCTTATTATCAAACGGTGTCACAACCCCAGCCTTCCCTGCTTGCCCATACGTGACCGAGGCCTCAAGGCAGGGCTATATTTGCACATCCCGTCTGTGTGGTTGTTCCTGGTGCTGAATGCTAGCATGGGAGCCTGATGGAGCATGCAGTGTCCTCTCTCACTGTGACTGTAGGCTTCCGAGTTCATATACAATCTCATTTCATAGTCAGCTGAAGAGCCAGATAACACTTCCCCATTCTACACATGATCAAACGCCAAATGTTAAAGTGTCACTTACAAATTTGGATATCCACGGAGAAGGTTTGAAGATGTGTTCATTCAATTTTGGCTTTCCTCTTATTTGATAAACAGCATTTAGGACATGACTCCTAGCCATAGTAACGAATTTTTGCATCACAAAATTTGGCAACAATCAGGTTCTATGTTTTATGCATATAACCCCTCTGTATCCACAGGGGATTGGTTCAGGACCTCCTTGGTAGATGCTACAACCCTCGGGTTCTAAAGTCCCTTATGTAAAAATGGTGTAGTAACGGGACGTGGCCTCCCAATGCACGTCAGGTCATCTCCCAAATCCTTGTAATACTCAATGTATCAAAGACACTACATAAGTAGTTATTCTGCATTTTTAAAGGAAAAGCAGTAAGAGACAAGCCTGCACATGTCTAGTACAGATACAACCTTCTTTTCAAATATCTTCAGTCTGTGGTTAGTTGAATTTACAGATGTAGAGGGCTGACTGCACTTAGACAAGGACACTTGGCTTGTGGAGCATGGCCACACTGTTGGGGCTTCATCCTTTGGTTGTCCACAGTCAGCTCCACACTCTTACGGTATATTTTCTGGTAAATTTAAGTCTGGTAAATTTAAAACTAAACATGTAAAAATGAACAAACAGAACCAGTCTGCTCAGTGTTCCCCACGAGCCGTGTTTCCCCATGTTTGCCTGCCTGTCTTTCAAGTTCCTGTGCTCTTTTGAAATTTAAGTTGTTTCTAAAAAGTTTTTTTTTTCAGTAGTGGAATTGTGCTTAATTTTAGATTTAAACCATTAAGATAAATAATTTACCTTCATCTAGTTGGTAAAATTTCATCAAAAGTTTAATATTTTCACTTAGAATAAGTATAAGGAAAACTACCAGACCCACCTGAGAGGCCACTATGAAGGAGTCGGTATGGACAGACGAATGCTCCACGCTCTCAAAGTTGGCAGCCTGGCCAGCAATGTGAGTTGTGTGCGGTTAAGGGACAGTGGGAATTGACTGGCTGGGTGTGAAGAATTTGGCCAATTATTTTTTAAACCCCCCTTTAAAATTTGTATGTTATTGATACGTAAAAACAGATCTTTACATGTTAACTAATACAATAAAGGATGCCTAAAAACTTTTAAGGCTTTCAGAGGCTCAGCTAAGCCTTAGTTAAGTCTTAGTTGAGTCTCCCACTTGAAGGCTTTATTATAGTTGATCCCATATAACAAATTGCTCAGCCTCTGAAGGACACAGTAAAATGCGTTGAGTGGAATCTCAAAGCTCTGAGACTGAGTTGCTCAGTTAGCTGGTAACATTTGTTTTTTTTTTTTGTTTGTTTGTTTTTGTTTTTTTTTTTTCAGTCATGAAACAATAGTTGAGAGATAGGGACAACCAAACACCAGGGGATAGCATGGCAACTCCTGCCCTCTCTTCAGCTTTAGTGGTCTAGTTTGCAGATGTGGAAATACCAGATTCTATCTTGGAGGGAATAAGTACTTAAAGGAGACTGAGTTCACAATCAAAACATCCGAATGTTGGGCTTCTTCTCCCTCAGCGTGCTGATGTTGACTGCTACAACTGAAATGCTCCAAAATAAACACTTTTCATTCATTTTCTTAAAGTTTGCCAAGAAGCACTTTCACTCTATACCTGTGTGCAAATGCTCATTTTAAACAAAAACAGAGGGGTCTCATAATTAAAACGAAAGATAAAATAAATGTACTACACATGGAAGTTGACTGATTTTGGACTAATTAAGAATAATTTCAATTAGTTAAAGGCTGTGTGAGCATAAGCGTGTGAACATAATATAATTTTCTTTTGAGGTGATGAAAGTGAATTAATTTTGTTCCTAATTATTTTAAAAAATATTTATGGTATTCAGAAAAGGTTAGGGGAAGTAGAAGCTAATGTCTCTTCTCTTTGGGTTTCAGATTTCGTACAAGGCTGATTATAAACATGACATTGTGAATTACAACTACCCAGCCACTCTCACGCCATCGTACCAAACAACGATGAAGCTGGTTCCCCTGAAGGATGTGAGTCCCCTCCACTCCGATTTTGTTCTATGATTTGCTGTAGAACAGGAAGGGAAGGAAGAATCCCACCAATATATAGGAGATTGGAGGGACTGGGAAATGGGCCTCCTCTGGGAAGTCCATGCATGTATGACTTAAAAACTCACTTTCTGTGTAAAATATGGATAATTGTGCTCTTGCCTTTAAAGTATCCTAAAGATCAATTTCTCTTTGTAGTATTTGGAGAGCTAAATCTGCTTGACACATGTATAATTCCATAGCAATGATGACCTTAAAAAATTAGAACATAGTATGCTAAAGATAAGTAGGTGTAAATTAAGAATGAGTGGTAGTGTTAGCTATACCTTTTTCTCAGGGGTGTATTGGCAAGCATCTTTGCTGAGATGGATGGAGGGGTGGGTGGGTGGATAAAGGGGTGGGTGGTGGGTGGGTGGATGGATAGATGGATGAATAGATCTCTTAGTACAGCAGAAAGCCTATTTCTGCTGTACTAAGAAAATTATACAATTAATTAAAGTTATTGTTTTGCCACCACAATAATTTTATTATGTGCTCAGTATTGAAATTTTAGAAAATATTAAAAAAGGAATAAAGAAAAAGATAAAGTAATTTACGGTCTTAAAAAAGAGTTGACCTCATAGTTTGCCAGTGAAGTTGATCTTCAATTTACAGTCTATTACGTAATTCTTCCTGTGTTCACTGAGGGTTCTTCCCCTCCCTCTGCTCCTGTGGGCTCAGCACAACTCCAGTGATTGGCAAGGATTTTTCCACTGGTAGACAGGACCTTGCTTATCCCTCGAGTTTGCTGAGAGTAAGATGTGATGGGATTGATTCAGTTGGATCTGAACAGTGTCTGGACCACCAAGGGATAAGAGTTGGCAAATGACGGCTTATTGGATGAACATGGCTTTAAGAAGGTGAATGGAGCCGATGGTGGTGGCACATACATTTAATCCTAGCATTCGAGAGGCAGAGGCAGGCGGATCTCTGTGAGTTTGAGGCCAGCCTGCTCTACAGAGGGAGTTCTAGGACAGGTTCCAAAGCTACACAGAGAAACCCAAACAAAAGAGAGAGAAGATGAGTGGGATGAGAACCAGAAGGAAGGATGGAAGGGACCAAACTACTTTGTGCCTCTTTTCAACCAGGAAGTCTTGTTAGGTTGCCTTGTTATATCCTAATGAAACTAAAACATCCATCGTTATTTTTGGTTCTAAATACTTCATAGACTGCTTAGCAATTAAAAGCAAGATTGTGTGTGTGTGTGTGTGTGTGTGTGTGTGTGTGTGTGTGTGTGTGTGTGTGTGTGTGTGTGTCTAGCTCAGAAAACCAGCCTGCAGTACAGACGGGGTTTAGAGACAGCATCTAAGCTCATAGCACTTGAGCCATACCCAGGTTCATTGTTTGTTTGTGGCTGTGCAGAGTAAAATAAAAACATGGCACAAAAGGGTTCTGTCTCATGTCCCAGCCATCAGCTGGGACCTGGTCATGGCTGGTGCACAGATGTATCTTGACCTCCTTCCTCTTGCTCTCCAGCTGTGGTATGTGTTTGTGCAAATTATCTCTAATGTATATTATTAACATTCAGGAAATTTGGGGAATCTTTTTTTTATTTAAAGAGAATTTGTGGTCTTGCCATCTGGTAGCCTTGAAGGTGGTAAAATAGCCGTGGAATGAAGTACAGCACGGGTCCTTAATTAGAGGGCATTCCTTTAGATGGGTTTTTACAAACACCAATAGAGTTAAAATGGGACTCCGTGTTTAGCACAGATCCTTTCGGAATGTAGATTGAAGCAGTGGCCAAATGCTAATGAAACAGGGAAGATGTGATTATCATGGAGGCTGTTAATTATGTCCTGCAGAGAAAAGTAATTGTGTTTGGTGGCATATTTAGTGCAGAATTATCAGGAAGGAATGTGCTATTTTAAAATTACAGTTTTGTGACATTTTATCACGCATCGTTCTGAATTCTAATAAGGTTCTATTATGAGCTGATAATTTTTCCTTCTGAATTAGGAAGTCATAGCACTCTAATCTCATTAGTGGTTGACATTGAAATGACTTCATTCTCCCCAGTTTTCTCTATATACTCTAGACGTACAAAGTTTTTTCTCCTTGAGTTATTAATGAAAGAGCATGAAAGTAATGGTCTCCAGACCCAGCCGGGTAGTCAGCTCTGTCGTGTCCATATGTGCTGTTTTAAAGACAGATTTATCTGTCATATGCTAGCACGTGGAATACATTTCCTGGTCTAAATATACAAGTCAAGGTTTCTCAGTGTGGAACCCCTGTAGTACTCCCAAGCATTCTAGGTAAACTGGTTTACAGAGCAAAGACCTAAGGGAACAGCCGGAGGACCAATTTGCCAGTTGGTCTGGGATGCCAACCATAGATCTCACCTTTTCCTAGCTGAGCAATCACTTTGGTTCTCCATGCTTCTGTTACCACATTGTAAGGTAGGGGTTATTGTAGGATGGCTGGGGGATTAAATAGGTTAGAGGTGTATGGGAAGTGTCCTGTGTTGCCCATAACTGCTCTAACTGATATTGGCAGGGGTAAGGATGATGGGAGTAGGGGGAAGTCTTGGAATGAACAAGCTGGAAGCCAGCACACCCAAGGGCTCTCAGGTTATTTCATGTGTGCCACAGTTTGTTTGTTTGTTTTTAACTATGGACTTACTTGCCAGCTCTTAACTTTCAGTGGACCTGGAGCAGGATGTGCTGGGAGTTTGGGTCGTGATGGGTATGTCTTGCCCAGAAGTAGACAGTTTGCAGCCTTTCTCTCTATCTTCTGGCATTTACAGTCACTCAGCTCCTTTTATGCAGTGTGCTCTGAGAGGAGATGGTATGAGAGTCTTGTTTATAGCTGTGCACGCACCCATCACTCATTCTCAGCAAGCATGCAGTGCACCCATCAGTCTCTGTGTTTACTACCTTTAACTGGAAAGAGAAGCTTCTCCAGTCAAGGCTAAGAATAGCATCCGCTATGGCTATAAACACATACACTTAGGAGTCAGCTTGGTATTGCCCTGCAGTGCACCCATCAGTCTCTGTGTTTACTACCTTTAACTGGAAAGAGATGCTTCTCCAGTCAAGGCTAAGAATAGCATCCACTATGGCTATAAACACATACACTTAGGAGTCAGCTTGGTATTGCCTCCACCCCACCTCAGGGTCTATGACCTCAAGACCTCACCATGAGTTTTTGGACTCTGTTTACAGTACCAGGAATGGATTCCTTCAAATCCAATCAGGAGGCTGTACAAGAATATGTCTAGCAAAAGTCAGGCATGGAGGAAGAGGAGTTCAGGGGTAGCCCATCTCTTTCTGTTCAACTATTTGGTACTAATAGATTTAGGGAGAATCATAGAATTCAGGGTCATTGTCTTCAATTGTGCACCCACTGGAGACCACGCCCAGCCTGGTGGGTGCTCTGGAAGCTGGAGTTTACCTCCATTCATGAGCCACTTGATATGGGTGCTGGGAACCAAATTTTTGTTCTTGGCAAGACCTGTGCACGCTCTTAGCCATCTCTCCAGCTCCTCAGTTGTTTTATAAAGTGACCCTGTGTCCATTTTCACTGGCAGTGAACCTGGGGCTGGAATTACTGGGGCAGAGATCTTGTGTTTATTCTCAAATGCTGCTCTGGATTCCATAGCTACCTTGTCTTTGCCAACACTTATTATTGCTAGTAACTTTGCTTCTCTCTCTCTCTCCTCCCCTCCCCTGTGTGTGTCTCTGTGTGTATGTGCGTGTCTCTCTGTGTGTCTGTGTGTATCTGTGTATGTATGTGTGTGTCTGTGTGTGTGTCTGTGTGTATGGATGTGTGTGTGTGTGTCTGTGTGTGTGTGTGTATGTGTGTGTCTGTGTGTGTGTATGTGTGTATGGATGTGTGTGTGTGTCTGTGTGTCTGTGTGTGTGTGTGTGTCTGTGTGTGTATGTGTGTATGTGTGTGTGTGGCATTGCTCTGGTGGATAATGTAAACACTCATGTGTCCTGTGTCCACTGCTCAGTTCCTTGGTCTCTGCTGTCACCCCTCCATGTTACCGACCCTTCCCTGCCTGGCCTCTGTCTGGCTTGCCATGACCACCCGTATTCTGTTAGGAATTTCCATTCCTGTTCTAATTCCCTGAGAGCCCCACACTGAATGGCAAATGGCGTTCCCTGTGCCTGTTTTTGCCCAGGTCAACTACAGGCAGAGCATCGACAAACTGAAGTACAGCTCCGTGACAGACACACCTCAGATTGTTCAAGCCAAAATCAGTTCCCAGCAACTGAGCCACGTATGTAGCATGTCCCCACCCTGCTGGGAATTTTGCAATTGTGGTGAGGCCTCTGGGTATCTAACCCCAAAGATTTCCCTTTTATTAATGCTGGGATATCTAATTGCAGCCATGAAATAATGTCCTTCCTTTCAAACATTTTACTATGGGATGTTAGAATATCCATAGTAGAGTAAACTGCATTAAGTCCCAAGCGCCAGCTTGGACAACCATCAGCTGCTCATGCCACATCCTGCTTCCCTGCTTCCTACTTCCC